ACTAAAATATTTGAATGATATTTTCTATTAAAATCGTGTTAATTTTCTGTGGTGTTTATCACAGCAGCGTCTCCAGCGTCTCTGTACGTGGCCCCTCCCACCAGAGCAGCACAAATGAAGACTTGTCTCTTTCCAAACGCTCTTAAAGGACGATCGTTTTGACTGTTGACCGTGACTCCCTCATCAGAAAAATGTCCAAAATGAGAAAAGTGGAGCCGAGTGCAGGATTTTACAACAAAAATGGACTTATTCCTGTTCACACACAAGTTCGTGTTCAAACTTTGTGTTGAAATTGTATTTTTCTTAAAGTTTCAGGTTGTTCATAATATTATAATATTTTGTAAAAGAAAGAGTTCATCAATTTAAAAAAAAAAATCTGTAATAGATTTGTGTTTCTCTGCACAAATATTTGAACTTATTGTTATTTTTGGGGTTTATATGACATTGACTTTGGGATCAAAGTTGGTTGGACACGACCCCCGGAACAAAATGAGTTTGACACTTCTGGTTTAGTTGAAGGAAACTCGTTTATTCAACACATTTGACATTTTCACTAGTTTGATGATTAAAATGTTTGTGTTTCATCTGAACTTTGCACAAGAAGTGGTTTAACAAAGACTAAGTCATGATTTAATCTTTATTTTTTATTGAACCGTATCGAATAAATTTGAAATATACTGAATCGAAAGTTCACTTGTTTTTTTTCTTTATTTTTGTATTTTTGCCCTTTTTTTGCACATGGGTCTGGTGGTGGACTCGCATTCTGGACTTTTTTTTTTTTTTTTTTTTTTTTGACGTCTGTGAGTTTGTTACCTCTCAGTTGTATGTATATGTTCTGTATATATTTGATCATTTGAACACAATAAAAACATTTAGATTTTTTAAAATTCCTCTTTTGTTTGTTGTTTTTATGTTCTCTTTCTCTGTGCAGCACTTTGGAAACTGTTTTGTTGATAAAATGTGCTATACAAGTACAAAAAGTGGATTTGGATTTACAGTATGTGGTCCATATATTTTGTTTTGTAATTTTAATTAGCACTTGAATAAAAACATCGTAAAAAAAAAAAAAAGTTGTAGTTTGTGTAGTAATGTAAATGTGTGTTTTGTGACATCTTTGCTTTTTATCTGAGTTTATGCAACAATTTTGGTTTGATTTTCAGTTTTGGTTTGGAATTTGGTATCAACAATTTACTGATTTTAGATAAAAATTTTATTCACAAATGTTGTTTTTTTTAGACTAAACCAAACATAACACACTTGAAGAATGACCTGAAGCTTTTTGTTCGCTCATTGGGCCAAATTGAGAGAAAAGAGGCTTTTTTTTTTTTTTCTTATGTTGTTTTTGAATTATTTAAATTTATTGATTTATTGCCTTAAATTAGAGTGAATGTATTTTTTTAATTCACTGTTGTGTTTTTTTATGCCTTTATTTTACTATAATGTGAACTGTTTGTTTTTATAAGGTGCCATTTTTGTTTAGATCTGAAAATCTGCGATTAAAAAAAAAAAAAAAAAAAAGCCTCAATAAAAGAAAAAAGTTTGTGTAGTAGTGTCATTTGTGTTCTCTCGTCTTGCGTTTGCAGTTTTGTCAGAGTCTGTGCTGCCCTCTGCTGGTGAAAGTGTGTGTGGCTGTTACAGTGAGAGTAGAAATAGACCTAGACGAGAGTTATTTGAAGCTAACTGGAGGCACTGCTGTGTCTGACGCTCTGTTACTCAAGTTAGACTTTAATGCAAGTTTTGTTTTCACACAATCTGATCATGAAGAGCTAAAACTACAACAGGTGTTTAAACAAGTCCCTCTCACAGACAAAGACAGTCACAAGTTCCGGTGGATTTATAGAAAACCAGTGATTTGTCCCAGTTTTATACAAGAAATGTCCCTATTTTTGACCAATCTGATCCCTACCAACAGTAAAGAGAGGCAAACATTGTCATTTGTTGAGGTAAAATACAAAAAATAGCTGCTTAAAAATGTCCAAAACACACACAAAAATGTGACTATACTGACTCACGTGTTAGTCATTAATGGGCCGAATGCAAAAATTTTCCTTAATTACGCACCAGTTTCACAATTTTATTATTACCAACCACCAAAAACCATCTCCTAGTTTTTTTATTTTGAAAATCAAACTCTTAAACAGAACCACGGAGGCTCGGACTGATCACAGGCTCCTGAGAATTTGGTTTGGTTTGGTTTAAATCCATTTGGCATTTTTTTCTTGAGTTTTCAGACAACATAAAAACTTGAGGTTGGTATCGATACTCGCAGGTATCGAAAAAGAGCAACAAATAAACAAACATGGAGGTGCCTACTGCAGTTTTTACATTTGTTGGAAAATGTATTTAAACTTATTTCAACTTATTTCAACTTATTTTTATACCTTGTCTTTGCCTTTTATTTGGTCCCCTACAACCAGTATTCAGAAAAGTGACACAGTGCAGCTTTAAGTGAGTGTGCGTGGGAGTTTTGGGTGCAGCAGTGGGAGAGCAGGAGTCTTACCGGCGTCTGGAAGCAGCAGTAGAGCTGGGTGAGGTAGGGGTGTCTTTGGGCCAGGGCCAGGATGCGCTTCTCGGTCATGGTGCAGTCCACGTCGTCGTCCTGCAGGATCACGTCTTTTTTCAGCACTTTGACGGCGTAGACCTGGTCAGTGCCCCGACGCTCGGCCAGCATCACCTGAGCACACGGACACACTTCAGACTGTGAGGAAATAGACTGTGAGAAGTGAGCATGAGTGGCTCCATCTACTCCACTTCTCTTTAGGGGTGCAACGATAATCAAGTCTCACAATACGGTATGAACCTCACGGTACGATATTTATTGTGATATCGTGGGAAGGATCATGATATGGAGGAGAGGCTCACGATTAGGGATGTAACAATATCCAAATCTCTATTTATTGCGATATTTTGTGGAGGCTAAAAAAACTGTTAATATTCTACTTTTTCCTCTTAAAATGCCTTGACAAGACTTAATCCAAAGAACTAAGGGCCTGTCCACATGACGTTTTTTGGTGGAAACGGTGAAGTTTGTGTTCATTTTGGCCTTTCGTCCACACGGAGCCGGTGTTATTTGAGAACAGGTTCCAGACCGGATCAATAACAAAGATTACACACAGGTAATTAAACTGTTTGATTTTCAGACCAAGTTATTCTAATAATTCTCATCCAAATCTTATGGCTAAAAACAAAAACTTATGTTTAACTTTTGCAAAACAAAACGGCTATATTTCTGAGATACATCTAAAATCGGCTAAAAAAAACTGTAATGAGATATGAATTATTAAATATTATTACCAATGTTAACGGCGCCACATACAGGTGTGGCAGATGTGTTACATCGTTTTCACTCAGTGCTCCTTTGTCGTGTGGACGTGAATATTTATTGATCCGACGTGTGTGTGGATGCAAATTTTTTTCAGCCTGTAAGGAAAAAAAATCCAAGAAGATGTCGTGTAGACGTAGGCTAAGAGTTAAAAGTGTTAGAACTGTTATTTTTTCTTGTAGTCTGCACTGAAATGGAGCAAAGGATCATGGTCTATGTAGTTCCCTCTGTCTTTTTGTAGCTGTTGCTGCATCATCACTCTTTAATTTAAGCAAAGAGACTTGTTATTCAAAATATTGTGATGATATTTTTGTGAGAACTTTGACAATACGAAATCATGATATTTCGGTTATTGTTACATCCCTTGTTCTCTTACTCAAAAACTGTGGCCCCTCTGTCTGTATCTGCTGCTGTCAGACTCGTCATTGTCATCTTAAAATGTTTGTATTAACCTGCTCTACATGATTCTGGGGGTTTTATTTCACTGTTAAAATCAAAATCTGAACATTAATATCAGACCAATGAGGCTCCTTCTTTCACTAAGGCCGCTTCATTTTGAGTTAAATCTTAGTTTGTTTCTTTCTTAAACGTTGTATAGAGGATTTTTTAAGGGAAGTGAAATACAGCGACAGTCCTTTTTCAAATGTTGTGCATATGTGACACCACCTCCCTCCTCCACAGCTCTACAAGTAGAAACACCTCCTCCCGCCTCTTTACTCTAGAAATCACACATGTTTACATCCAGTGTGCGTTCAGAATTACTGTTGAAGTGACCTGTCTAGAAATAATTTAGCGACCGATGCGTCAGTTTTTAGACCCTTCGTCCGCTTCATTCGCGCCATCGCTGGAAGGAATCTCCAAGAATCACCTCAGTTTGTCTTCGCTCCTTTTCCCCTTCTCTTCTTCTTTCAGCGACCTCAAAAAACGACTTTCTTTTGTGGCGAACTGGTCGTGGATTCTCGTCCGCCATCTCAATAAACTTTGTGCGAATTGCGAGGAAGCGACAGTTTGAAAAAGCCTCTAAGAACCGCTGCATAAACCACATAATCCCCGCGCGTTGACGAGTCAGTTACACTAGAAACGTAGGGAGTTTGATTGACAACCTAACAGCCAACAGAAAATGAGGCAGCCTCGTTTTCTATTGGCTGATGTTTATCTGGCCTCAACACGTCCACAGTTGATGGATTTTCATAGTTTTTTTTTTTTTGGTCATCATAATTACAAAGCTGCTGCGTCTCTGTAATGGTATTTTAAACTTTCATTGACAATTTGAAACTGAAAAAAAATCCTCCATACAACCTTTAAGGCATTAAAAAGTGCAGTTATTATGAAGTGTTACCAAAGTTCTATTTCTAGTTCTAAGCTCCGTCCTGACTCACCTTACCGAAGCTGCCTTTGCCCAGGACTTTGATGAAGACAAAGTCCTGCAGGTCCATGCGTCTGTTCTGGTTCTGTCTCTGGTTCTGTCCATTCTGTTTGTTCTGTCCCTCCTCTGCTCCGTCGTGTCCCGTGTCTCCCGTGACGGTGATGACCGGACAGGGCGGGGACAGGGCGTGTGTGTGGTGATCCAGAGACATGGTCTTCCTCATGATCTCCAGCTGCTTCACATCTGGACACAAGTCAAACACGTCACCTGATGGACAAATCTTCTGTTGATACTGCATCGACATGTCAGGCCGTTGTGTTGGTGACATGAATATTTTGTTACTCCATGAGCCAGACAAAACGTGTTACTTTGGTGGCAAGGGCTATTAGTGATTTTGGAAAAATTCCACATTTAAGCTTTAAATTGTGGTGTGACAGGCTTCTGAGTTTCAGTGGTATCACAGATATCAGCCTTTGTGTAAAACCTGGGTCCAAAAATGAAACACAGATCCATACTGTGGTCTGGGCCATGTGCCGCCCATCACAGTCTTTGATATTATTTTAAAGTGATGCTGATTTGTCAGATTTTGAAGTCTTGTCCAAAGGTTTGCATTTCACAAAACTAAGTTGTGATAGAAAATGCATGTAATGGTCGAACACAGAAATACTCCTGTAAAAATGTGTTCCTTTTATAACAGTGACTGAGGTTGGAGCAGTTGTTACCGTGGTTACAGTTGTAGGATTTGACCGTTATCGTGGTTACAGTTGTTACCGTGGTTACAGTTGTAGAGGCAGACTGTTACCATGGTTACAGCTGTTACCGTGGTTACAGCTGTTACCGTGGTTACAGTTGTAGAGGCAGACTGTTACCATGGTTACAGTTGTTACCGTGGTTACAGCTGTTACCGTGGTTACAGTTGTAGGAGCAGACTGTTACCATTGTTACAGTTGTAGGATTTGACTGTTACCGTGGTTACAGTTGTAGATTTGACCGTTACCGTGGTTACAGTTGTTACCGTGGTTACAGTTGTAGAAGCAGACTGTTACCGTGGTTACAGTTGTTACCGTTTTTACAGATGCAGGAGCAGACTGTTACCGTGGTTACAGTTGTTACAGTGGTTACAGTTGCAGGAGCAGACTGTTACCGTGGTTACCTTGTTCACATGGAGAGGTAGGAGCAGACTGTGACTCGTCTTCTGTATTCTGAGGTAACCCGGTCAGAGGTGGAGGCTCACGTCCACGAGGAAGCTGAAAAACAACGACATGATATAAATATAGTACGTCACATAATTTAACATGATGACACAGAAGAATGTAAGAGAAATGTATCCCCTTCTGTTGAGGCTCAGGTCTCATGTGCACTAAGTTCCAACTCAGAGTACTACACATCCCTGGGTGGCAAACTGTTGTCATGGAGACCAGTTGTTTGGTCAGCTGATGGCGTCTCATGTGGCTCTAAATCTAGAGCCACTGAGGCTACAGAGCGCAGGAACATGTGAAAACAACCTGAATGGAAAAAACCTGAGTTGGGAGTTACAAGAGTGATGTGTACTGTGCTCTGACACTGTACTTAACATTATTTTCTCAGTTTCTCAAAGTTTTGAACTTGAGAAGAAGAACACAAAGCACAGATGACTGTGATGGATCTGTCTCTTGGTTTATGGACCATATTTGTGATTCCACTTTGGAGCTGCAGCCTCTGAGGTCCGCTCAGTCAAAGCTGTCAGCACATTTGAGGTAAGAGGTTATCATTGTAGTTACACTGTAGTACTTGGACCATTCTAATCACATTCTTATCGTAAATTGATTAAACAGCTGCTTATAAGACAATTATACGTATAACAGGTAGAACAACAGTACACACAGACAATGATCAAACCACCAATCTAAAAAAAATATCTGTAATGTTTAACTGAATCATTTATTGAAGCACAAACAGGTCACTGTGGTTCAGATAAAGACATGCAGTACCTTCTTTCGCCTGTGTGTGGTGCTGGAGATCTTGTCGGGGGTGACTCCCAGGTCGGACAGGACTTTGGCGATGCCCCGGGCGTCCACCCCGCAGGTGGGCGCCATGTTCTGCTCACAGCGCCGATGGATGTTCACCTTACACACTGACACACACCACAGACCAGAAACAAGTCGATTAAGGCTACGTTCAGACTGCAGGGCTTAACGCTCAATTCCGATTTTTTGGTGAAATCTGATGTTTTTGCGAGGTCGTTCACATTTCCAATTAAATGTGACTTGTATGTGACTCCAGTGTGAACGTTAAACGGCCCGAAAGTGTCCCACATGTGACACTGGAGACACGACGACGTCAACCGCAGCGAGCGTCTCTGTGTTTACAGAAGTTGTCCAAACATGGATGCGAGCATTGAGCACCTGGAGATTTTAAAGTTCCTCTCGAACCGGAGCCAGAACATGAACAACTTACTTGATTTAAGGAGGAGATTGAGAAGGAGAAGGACGAGGTTTCTGGCCGTGGTGTTTTGTGGGGCAGCGGCAGCGACGTCCGTTGAAAGGAACGTGTGGATGTGGAGACGGAGCCAAGAGTGGTGAGTGGTGATGTGCTTCGCTTCAGTGACATGGAGTTCATTAACAATTTTCTCCTACTTCAGTGCAGAATAGTGACGTTTGTGGCTTGTTGATAACGTGTAGGTGGATGAATGCACTTTGGCCGTTCACACTGAAGTCGCATGTCAAAAGATCAGATACGTATCGGTTTTAGGAGCACATATCCAAGTGGCCTGGGTCGCATTTGAAAAAATCGGATCTGTGTCGTTCAGACTGTCATTAATAGATCGGATACAGGAACATAGAAGCCAAAAAATCGGATTTGGGTCACTTCAGGCTGCAGTCTGAACGCAGCCTAAGAGACCACAGTGTTCAGCTCCAGTCAGATGAAGCTCACGATTCTAACAGTTACAGGAGAGAATTTGGAACGAGGCTCTACTTTTTTTTTTTTATGGATCATGGATCATGTCGAGCAGGTTAATACGAACACTTAAGACCAGAATGAGGAGACTTGTGTGTCGTGTGTCTGTACCTTTGCACTGCAGGCCCTGGCGCAGCAGCCCCCACAGCAGAGAGCCGCAGTGGTCACAGAAGGTCAGCACTTTGAAGCTGTGGAGGCTGAACTTGTGAGGGAGGTTCACACTGAACCTCTGACTGCCCACGGCCTGAGACACACACGGAAGGTTTCAAAAACACCACACACAGGATATGAAACTAATGACATTTTCTGCAAATATAATAGGCCTTTTACAAAACAGCCGGAAGTGCTCCTTGTGGAACTTCTGGTGAATGGTTTCCTGTGGCAAAATGTGTGTGGAAATGTCTCGTGTGTTCCTATAGTTGCAGTGTGAATAGGCCTGTAGTGTGTGGCCTGTAGAATAGGCCTGTAGTGTGCAGTGTGAATAGGCCTGTAGTTGCCTGTAGCTGTAGTGTGTGAATAGGCCTGTAGCCTGTAGTGTGCTGTAGTGTGAATAGGCCTGTAGTTAAAGTGTGAATAGGCCTGTAGCAGTGTGAATAGGCCTGTAGCTGCAGTGTGAATAGGCCTGTAGTTGCAGTGTGAATAGGCCTGTAGCTGCAGTGTGAATAGGCCTGTAGTTGCAGTGTGAATAGGCCTGTAGCTGCAGTGTGAATAGGCCTGTAGCTGCAGTGTGAATAGGCCTGTAGTTGCAGTGTGAATAGGCCTGTAGCTGCAGTGTGAATAGGCCTGTAGCTGTGCCTGTGTGCAGTGTGAATAGGCCTGTAGTTGCAGTGTGAATAGGCCTGTAGCGTGTGCAGTACCTCGTGTTGTCTGTCGTCCTTGTTCTTCACTCCTGCACATTTTGTGATGATGAGCTCGTGACAGCGTTTGTGAACCACACACGTGCAAACTGCAAGACACAGACACTTTAATCGACACTCTGCAAAGTACTTCAAAATTCAAATATTACTCTTTATGTATACAAGACTTTAATGTTGTTGTTTTTTTTTATGATTATGGTGTACAAAAACATACATTGCTAATAGACCTTTTCACAACGGCCAGAAGTGTCCTGCAAAATGTGTGTGTAAATGTGTGTGTAAATGTTTGTCGTATTCTCCAGCTGTTTTATAAATCTGCCCCATCACCAAATCTTCAACCAACAAGATGATGAAGGTCTGATTGTGACGACAAAACGACATTAGAACATACAGATCATAAAATAATATGAGAATTTTAATGTGAAGAAACTCTAAGTGGCTGCAGGTAGCAGGAGCTAATAACCAGAAGAAAGACTCAATAATGAACAAAGTTTATTAAAAATGCTGCAGAGGAGCTTACCTTGGCACTGGTAGCCCTGCTTCCCCAGCACACCCCTGATGGACAGAGAGACAGAGGGACAGAGGGACAGTCAGAACAACACGTTTTCACCTCCACATGAAGAGAAAGTACGAATCATCTGCTTATTTGGTTCAAAAAAGAGGAAATATTCGTCTGTGTCAAGTCCAAAAGTCCAGTCCCTCTGCTCCAAGTCTTCACCTTCACTCCTCACCCCATTTTCCTCTGCTCTCCTTCACCCCTTATTAGTTTATTCTTAGTCTGGCCAGTAGATGGCGCCAAAAACACAAGTAGTGTCTGCTGTTCTCATTTAATTTTGCCCAAACCAAACCCAGGAATATAAAGGGAAAACACAGACAGAAGCGCTGAGTAAATCTACCTGTAAAATTAGTTTTTAAGAATTGTTAAAATAGTGAAAATAGTATTAAGACTCTAAGGACATAATGATCTGGATTAATTCCAAAGTGAAGTGAATATTCTGTTTAATTTGAGTAACACAATGAAAAGTCTTGGTTGTGTTGTCAATGGAGTTGGTTGATTTATTTAATTGGATCAATGACCAAATTTAAATTCACAGTAAATAAATAAATAAAAAAAATAGTAATTTAATTTAAGTTCTGAAAATGTAACAAATAATAATAATAATAATTAATTTAATTGGCAATTTTTTGTTTTGTTTTTTTAATATATTCCAATTTATTGCCATTGTTGTAAAATGTATTAAAGTCTGACCAAGTTAAAGGAGCACTAATTTAATTTAAAGTGTATATTATTTAGCAATTAAAAGATATTTATTCATTCATAAAAATTCGATATACAATAATAAAATATTCAATTTGTTTCATATGTCTAGACATTTTAAATTATATAAAAATAGGTTATATTTATGATTAAAATATTAATTGTTCAAATGTCGCCTAATGAAGTTCAAATGTAAATGAAAATATATAAATTTAAATGCAAATAGATTAAAATACTAACAAAAATGTGACCACAGTCTGTATAAAGAAGTGGACTATGTGATTGTGCCGTCACCCACAGCGTTTGGCTCCAGTCAAATGAAGCTCAATGAGGCCGGAGGTTAGTCTTAGTTGGTTTGTTTTTAAAGTTTAGATCTTCAATCATGTAGACCGGGTTAATACGAACATGTAAGATCAAAATGAGGAGTTTGACATTGAAATAGCCGGCGGTTTAGCTATGTCCATTATATATAGAGTCTATGGGTAAATCAGGTGTGTGTGTTGTGTGTCTTGTGTGTGTCGGGTGCAGCAGTGCCGTGTGTACAGACCAGATGAAGTCCCTGCAGTGGGAGCAGTACGTGGGCTGCCTCAGGTACGTGGCCATGAACTTGTGCCCGTTGACCTGGTGCACCCTCCGACGGACAGCACCCTGACGCTTCCGGGGACCCACCCTCTGCCGGAACACCCGCTCCTCGTGGTCCGCACACGACACCGGGGCCTCTGCACACACATACACACACACACAGACAAGCACACAGGTGTTTGAATGCTTTTTCACGGCATTGCCTTAACTTGCATTCATTTCCTGGAGACTGACCCGATCCCAACGATAATGATACTTTCCTAACCTTAATCTGAATGACATATTATTGAAGTGTATCACTGATTAAGCAAATAAAAATGAAGTGCATCACAGTGGGCGAGTATCGTGGACAGAGAAATGGTGGTTGATCAAAAGATTACACAGTGTAACATGAAAAGTTTGCCGCAAAAGAAAGTCAATTTTTGAAGTCGCTGAAAGAAGAAGAGCAGGGGAAAAGGAGTGAAGCCAAACTAAGATTCATAGAGATTCTTAGAGATTCCTTCATTTCATTTATTTCTTTGTTTGAGTCAGGTACAACTAAATTCAAAAACAATAACAAAAACAGTGATATATACGTGACATATTTGGGACCTGGTGCTCAAAAGGAGGAGGATGAAGTTTAAAAAACTTATGGAGTCCTACCCCAACTGTTTTACATAATCACGTGGTTCACTTTTTTATTTATTTATTAATTTTTTTTATTTTAATCACCTTTGGAGTGTTTACCTGTCATTTGCAAAAAAATAAAAACAAAAAATACCCACATATATACAAAAACATATCCACATATACTTACATACATATGCAAGTACACACACTTGTACACACATACATACATACAAACATACATATACACATCATAAATATCCAGTAAATATACTCGATATAAATGTTTACACACATATGCATAACAACATATACACACATGCAGAAACATATTTCTGTTTGTAGTCGTACAAACTAATAATAATGTTAATCTAGACACAAAGTTTATCGTTTATGATCGTACAAAATAAACAGTAATGAGAATGAAAAATGTAAGGATTTTTTGTGTTCGTTTATGGTCGTACAAACCAACAACGGCAATGAAGAAGGCACAGAGTTTATCGTTTAAGATCGTACAAAATAAACAGTAATAAGAATGAAAAATTTAAGGATTTTTTTGTTTTCGTTTATGGTCGTACAAACTAATAGTATTACTGATGAAGGCACAAAAGTTTATCGTTTATGATTGTACAAAATAAACAGTAATAAGAATAAAAAATTTAAGAATTTTTGTTTTCATTTATGGTCGTACAAGCTAACAATAGTAATAAAGAAGGCGTAAAGTTTATCGTTTATGGTCGTACAAAATAAACAGTAATGCAGCTATCCAGCGATAATGTGACTGAAGAAGACGAAGGGACTAAAGACTGACTGAAATTACTTCTGGACAGGAAACTTCAACAGCAATTTGTTCAGCGATTCTGAACACACGGTGGCTGAAAACAAACATCATTTCTAGAGTAAGGAGGAGGTGGGAAGAGGCGTTTCGACTTGGGGAGCTACAGCAACATTTGAAAAAGGACAAACAGTCGCTGTGTTTCTCTTTCCTTGGAAAATTCTGTGTGAAAAAATAAATAAATAAACTGTAAACACTGGATTATTGTGAAGAGACGGTAGAGTCGGTCTGGGAGGAGGAGGCTGCACGGGGCCACGCGGAGGTCAGGGTGATAAACTGATCAGTAAAGTGCAGGAGACGAGAGCAGATAATGGACCTGACATCATCTCCACAGAGTCAGAGGACCAGGTCACACACTGGCTCTACACACACTGTCTCTACACACACTGGCTCTACACACACTGTAGTTTCAGGCGCTTTGACAATAAAAAAAAAAAAAAAAGTAAAATTTATGTTGTGAAAATAGAAAAGAATCCTTCAAAATCCGACCTTTGTAAAAGCCGGATGCCCTGGAGTAGTCGGTCTGGAGCCGGGACGGACGGGGAATGTCTCACACAGTTTTTATTACAGATCCGTGACCATGGACTGTAGAAGCTCCACATTTGGACAAAGTGTGTCTCAGTCAGAGGAACTAAATTTTCAAACAGTCTGCCATTATCAATAAGAGAAACTTCAACACTGGACACTTTCAAATCCCACTTGAAACAGGCTAAAGGAAAACCAGACTTGTGGGCACTTCTGTCACTTGTTATTTTAGTTTTTCTCTGTTAAATTTGTGTTTTTCCTGCCGAGGGACAACAGATGGAAATGAGCAGTCTTGCTATAATCTGTCATATTTACACTGTAGTGGTGCACATGTTCATTAATATGCACTGTCCGTATTAAATAAAATAAAACTAATAAATACAAATAAATACAAATAAAATAAAATAAATACAAATAAAATACAAATAAATACAAATAAAATAAAATAAATTAAAAAAATTATAAAATAAATAAAACTAAACTGAACTAAATTAAAATAATATAAAGAAATGGACATGGCTAATCCCCTGCCGCCGCGTTGCAAACAGGAACAGTCTTTAACATTGCCTTTTGTTTTGATGCAATCGCAGATGATGGATTTTGTGCCTTGCGTTGTTGGTCTGTTCGAGGGGTTAGTTTATGGAACAATCTGAGTGATGATTTGTTTTGAAAGATCTAGAGCTCTGGAATGAATGAATTATGCATTAATTTGTGTTTTTTAATTTATATTTTGTCTCTTATATTTACAGTAAGTCATAAGTGAAACTGTAAACGTTAAACTTGCTGTTCAGACGCTGCTTTTTTTTCTTGGAATTCTGTCATTGTTTAATTGAGTTTGGCGTTATAAGTTCTTTTTACTTCAGCCTAAAACCTTTCAGTCATAATCCATGGGGTTGTAGTCTATGTTTTGTTTTCTTTCGTTTTGTTTTGTTTTGTAGTGCTGCAAAATGACCAAATAAAAAAACTACAACTAGAAGTGAGCAGCAGACGACCCTTTAGCACAAACTGTAAAGAAGTGGATCTGAAGTCGAGTTTCATATTAGAAATCGAAATAATTTACAGACAAAACAGCAAAATAAAAACCCCATGATCACGTAGAGCAGGTTAAAGGTGCATTGTGTAACTTTTCTGGTTGAGGGTCCATCACCTACTTGTTTCTATGGAGATGTCAGTGCTCTGCCTGGAATGTTCCACAGCTCTACTTTACATTTATGCAATTACAGGTGGTTTTATAGCTCAAAAATACCTAGAAAAACAAAAACAAAGGCATTCTGACTGTCAGCGGGGTCGCCTCTCCACAGATCTGACCTGTTACTTGGTCTGGTTCGGTCTCCATGAAGATAAACATTTTTAAAACCATACTGTGGAACATTTTAAGACTAAAATGACGGATCACTGCAGCGTTTACAGAGAGAGGAGTGACAGTTTTTCAGCGTAAAGTGAATTAATTGGCCAAGAAAACTTCCTAACAGGAACATGGCCAGACTGTCCATGACCTTCACACAGAGGAGGATCTCACCTTCAGTGGAGGAGCCCGTCAGGTCGATCACCACGTACACCCTGCCCTCCGGCTCCAGCTCCATCTGAGGACGACACAGGACAAAATTAAACATGACTTTATCTTTATGAATGAGTCTCAGAGCGGAAAAGGAGCTGACGTGAGTTCAGCCTGGAAGATCTAACTCCTCCTCCTCAGCTCCACTTCAGCTTCTCATCCTCTAAATGTTTAATGGCTTATTTTGGTGTATCTTCTTCCTTTAGTGTTGTGTGCCCTTGGTGTTTTATTTTGACATTTGCCCTGTCTGCTTCTAGTTTTGGTTTTACTTCCTGTCTGTTGATAGTTTGTCCCGCCATAATGTTTTACACCCGTGTCTGTGTGTATTTGTTCTTCTCTGCTCTTTGTTGGTCTGTTGTCATTGTCTTTGTCAGTATCATGTCTGTTGTAGTTTAGGGTGACCAAACGTCCGTTTTTCCCCGGACATGTCAGTTTTTTGCATCCTGTCCTGGGCGTCTGTTTTTTTTTTTTTTAAAGTGATGCAAATGTTCAGGTTTTCATTTCCGTTCATTGGGCCATTAAACTGAGCGTCTCTTGTAGCGTCTGTGACTCAGAAGGAGCGAGCAGACACACACAGTCGGTCAGTCTGCAACACGCTGAAGCACAAACGTACATTTAACAATGACTTGTACAAGAAATTCTCAGTTTTCCGTCACGGTCGAGGCGAGTGGGAGGCCATGTGCACAGGTTGTGAGGTGAGAGTAGCTCAATGTCGAGGCCCCACCCCCAATAAGGTGTCTGGGTTTTCACAAACGGAAATATGGTCACCCTATTGTAGTTTCTATTTTTGGATTTTTGGATTTGGTTTCTTCATGTGTCTGTGGCGCCATCTAGTTGTGGCCGTCACCATATTTTCTTTAGCCTACTTATTTAAACTGGAATTTGTTTAAATATAATGTAGCACATAACCTGGACTGGTAAAATGTACGAAATGCACAATTGCAACACCCACCAACACCCACCTGTATGCAGTGTTGGGAAGGTGACTTTTAAAATGTAATCCCCTACAGATTACAGATTACACACCCCAAAATGTAGTTTGTAACGTAATCCATTAAATTACTTAGAGTAACGTAATCTGAATACTTTGGATTACTTGATTTGCTGTAGAGAAGCAAAGACGAGGAAATCTTCACATAAGATGTTTTGTCTGATAAAAGAAAATAAAAAGCCCAAACTTTACTTAACCGTATCAAAAATATTATTGATAGAAGAAGAGGAGACACGGTCCGTGCAGCAGGATTTAGTCCTGTTAAATCCTGTTTTAGACCTAGTTTAGTCTTGGTTTAGTCCTGGTTTAGACCTGGTTTTAGTTCTGGTTTAGACCTGGTTTCAGACCTGGTTTATACCTGGTTTAGACCTGGTTTATATCTGGTTTAGTGTCCGGCAATGAGTGGAATTATGGAAAAAAGAAAAGCTAAGGGGGATATAGCCCAAAATGTAAAAACAGGAAAATACCGCCGTGTAATCCATTTATTTCAACAAAGTAACTGTAATCCAACTACCACTCACTGAAACAGTAACTGTAACCGAATACAGTTACTCATAATTTGTACTCTGATTACGTAACTCTGGTACATGTAATCTGTTACTCCCCAACGCTGCCTGTATGAGCCTGGACCCTCCCAAATGTTAACAAGCCAAACCAACCCCCCACTTCTAAACGCTCCATTATATATCATGTAATATTATTATTATGACGCTCTATGCATGAAGACTTTGTTATATCTTGTTCATTAGTCTTTCAACTTTACTCAGCACCACCGAAAAGAGAAACAGTGCAGCCTGTTGTCTCAAACACTTCTGCCTCACTCATGGTCCGAATACACCGACCAAAAACCAACAACATCAAACTCGCCCAGGGTGGCTAATGGGCTAGAGCCGACCCTGAGTGTGAGCCCCAGTGGAGCTCCATAAACCAGTGCTTCTCTGTGGTCCCTGAGAACAGAGGCTCTGAGCTGCTCTGTCACATGAAAGAAACTGACTTTTGGGAGATGATCCATCAGGTTTAAAAAAAAAAAAACTAACAAAAAACTGCAGAAACTCTTCATAACGTGAGGATCCTTGGAGTTTAAAGTGTCAGAGTCTGTTCTGATCTGAGCCACTGCAGCGAATCTAAATAAAATACTTTATGCTCCTATAAAACAAACACGAGCGAGCACTGGAGCTGGAGGACGCGTCTCCTGTCTCGTCCCGTCCTGTCCCGTCCTGTCTGTGTGAAGGTCTTTTACAGAGTCCAGTGTGAGGGACAGCTGCAGCTCCTGTGTGTCTGTGTGTTCATTTTACTACACTCGAGGCTGGAGTGCTCAAAAATATCTGTTTTCACCTCCCCCCTATCTCCACCCACTGCTCTGCACTTTATTCAAATAAATAAATAAAAACGTTCATCAGTAAAAAACAAGAGTATCTTAGTTTGTGTGACGCAGAGCTGTAGGAAAAGGAAAATCAGACCAACTGTGAGATCAATTTAAGCTCTTTCTGCTGAAATTAGGTTCAGGAGTCCTCATGTCCTGCACACACACACACACACACACACACACACAACACACACACACACACACGGACACGCACACTAATGTCATTACAGCTGGTTATTGGATTGAGCGTGCAGGCTCCATCCTGTCCTCATGCATCACACTCACTGTCCTCACGTCCTCACGCTGCAGCCGACCGCTCACAACAAAACTCTCCTCGTCTCCTCGGTCCTTCACTCACTCGTCTGCTTCAGATTTTCTTCTAACTCTCAGTGTTTTAGCCCATTTTTATTTCTTTGACAGCTTCGTTAAAAATCGATCAGCCACTTTCTCAGAAGTCGTGGCTTGGACTCGAGTCAGACTTAAATCACTATTTTTAGGACTTGAGACTTGACTCGATAAAATGGACTAAGACTTGGGACTCGACTTGGACTTGAAGGTCAGTGACTTGCGACTTGACTTGGACTTGAGCCCTGCGATGAAGAAGACTGACAATGATTGAGAAGACTTGAAGCTTCTGCTAAAGAAAATATCTGTTTTTAGAAAATACCTTTCTCTTTACAGTTGATAAATGCGCTCTTTAATTTTACAGGAACAAAGTGGAACATGTCGCTCCCACTTCTGTTTGACACTTTGGATGAAACTGAAGTACTGTGACGTGGTATCCTCAAAAGTACTACAGTATTTACAGTACAACAGTCCACAGTCAACACATCCTTCCATTTCAGTGCAGACACATGACAAAATAACTGTTATTTAGCTCTTTTTAATCTGAATTCTTTCTGTTCTGACTCTAAAGATTCACACTAAGATCTTGTCCAGACATTTAAAAAGGAAAAATTTGAATTTCTACAACTCTTACATAAATATGCTACGAGTTTTTAAGTACAGTTTAGTTTAAAAGTCATATAAATTGCAAAAATCTAAGCTTTGGTTTAAAGATTTTAAATGACTTGAAGCTCAAAGCAGACAACTTGGACTTGACTTGGACTTATGAGCCAGTGACTCGAGACTCGACTTGGCCTCACTTGGATATGTGCTCCTAAAACCGATGCATTCGATCTTTTGACATGCGACTTCAGTCTGAACGGCCAGGTCACATTCATCCCACCTACACGTCACAAATGTTCACAAATGTTCTTCTCGTCAGACGAAAATTGTGTCTGAACTCCGTGTGAGTGAAGCAGTGAAGCACAGATCAATCCCTCCACTCTTTACTGCGACTCTGCACCCACACGTTCATTTCTACGGACGTTGCTGCCACTGCCCCACAAAACTCCACTTCTCCTTCTCAATCTCCTCCTTAAAACAAATAATCTCTTCATGTTCTGGCTCCGGCACGACAGCGACTTTAAAACCTCCAGGTGCTCGATGCTGCGTCCATGTTTAGGCGACTTCCATAACTGTCCTCCAATGCTCACGCGGGACACTTTTGGGGCGTTTAAAGTTCACACTGGAGATCACAAACAAGTCACATTTAACTGGAAATGTGAACGACCTCGCAAAAAAATCAGACTTCACAAAAAAAAAAAAAATCCAAATTGAGCGTTAAGCCCTGCAGTCTGAACGTTGACTTAGACTTGGGACTTGACTTGGACTCGAGATCAAAACCTTGAGACTTCCTTGAGAGTTGGAAAATCACGACTTCTGCCACTTTTAGTTTCCTAATGAAGACCAGACTCTGAGCGACACATGTGGAACAATAGAGACTTGTTTAAAAGCCCAAATCCTCTCACTTGTTGTGGTTAAATCCTTTCTTTAATCTGTGTTTTATTTGAACACAATGTGAAAATAAAGTCTAATAAAGTCAGAGCAGACAGAGCAGAGCCTCCAGTTAGCGTCACACCCCCAGAGAATGTTGATGGGATCAGCTATTTTGGTTTGAAAGAAGCTCACTGATCTAAAATGTGGCTATAAATCGAGTTGCAGCAGTATTTTTGATGTGTACTTCACGTTGAATCTTGGCAGCAGTACTTCTACTTGTACCTGAGTGGATTTGTACTCATGCAACTGTACTTTTACTCGAGTACATGCTCGCAGTACTGCTGAGAAACCTCGAGACTGAATGACCGAGTAAACAGAAGCTCGCAGACAAGACGGCCACTTCATACATCTCGTAGCTGTCAGGGGGAATTTTCCGGAACATGCCGCAGTGTCCTGGCTTTTCTTAGACTTGTACAGTACACAAACAACGCACACACACACACACACGCACACACACACACAGACACACACAGACACACACAGACACACACAGACACACACACACACACACACAGACACACACACAGACACACACACACACACACACACACACACAGACACACACACACACAGACACACACACACACACACACACACACACACAGACACACACACACACACACACACACACACACACACAGCACACACACACACACACACACACACACACACACACACACACACACACACACACACACACAGACACACACACACACACACACACACACACACACACATCACACAGACACACACACACACACACACACACACACACACACACACACACAGA